GATGCGCAAAACTCCGCATTTTAACAGTCAATAGCAAATACTTAAACTAATAGCAAAACAGTAGCTGATTCAGAAGCGCCAGATTGTCATAGCAAAGTCAGAATTACCTCCTCTCCTAGGTTCACGAAACGGTCGTCCATAAAATGCATTGCTGTTCTGTTGTAAGTAATCTTAAAGATTCCTAAATGCATCTACTTTCGTAAGGCCAAATAAAGTGCTTTTGCTTTCGCACTTAAACACACAGCGTCTCCCTGACATGTTGCTTCAAACACTAACTGCGTTTACTGAAACCACGCCTTCTTTCTTTGCGTGATCATTTGGGCTGCATTACGCAAATATTTCCACATAGTGATGTAGATATGTGGGGGCGTGTTAGAACGAGCTGTTTTAGGGGGGCGTGGCAGAGTCTTAACTTTGATAAAGAATATCTCTTTGGTTTTGAGACTTTAGTCTTTGCAACTTCAGGGATCTTATCTATGCACAATCAGCTTGTAACACTCCAAAGAGAAAGGAAAACTTGAAATCACATCATATGACCTTTTTAATAATCATTCTAATTTCATGAGAACAGGGAAGTCCAAACCATAGCTATAACAAAAACGACACGAGTAATGATATCAGTTGATGAATGATGAAAGCATGGAGAATCACAGTCCTCCCGACTTTAAACAGCTTGAGCATTTATAGTTGCAGATGACATAACTGCAGAAACAGAAAGTTATCATCATCAGTTAGTGTGGCTGCTAATATAGTTTTTGTTGTAGTTATCGTGGTTGGTGTGAATGGGCCTTGAAGACCTAAGGTGCGCACTGCGCAGCATCACTCACATTTTCTTCAATTACTTCAATTTGAAATGCATTTGTGAGGTTACACTCTTGAAAATCTTCAGTCTTTTTGTGTACATTGGAATCTATAATGAAATCATGCCAAATTGATCATTGGCAGAAAGTCGTGGGCCTCTCCTCTGAGAAACATCCAGACGGTCAGGCCCAGTTTGGGTTAGGTTATATGCTGCTTTTGTTCTCGCTCTCTGTTGTATATGTAGGTGATTGTTACGTGTTTGAGGATTGGCTCATGCCACACCTTTGTTTTGTTGAGTTTTAGAGGTTACATTGAAGCCCTTCCTGGTCTGGAGCTTAGACAGGGCAGCAGCAATTATGGCAAAATCAAGGCCATATCATTTGTTTGGAATTCACTCACTGTGTCCATGTGCATCTCGGTTTCTTTCTCTCTCTGTGTTGGTCTCTGTTGGTTCACAGTCTTTAGGCCAAGGCTGTGTTTTTTTTTGTTTTTTGTTTTTTTGTTTTTTACATTTCTAAATGAAATGGTTGCCCGCGCAAACTCATAAAACTTTGTTCAGGTTATGGTTTGAGTTTTTTCTTGGAAAGAGTGTACACCACAAGTGTAAAACCCCAAATTTGTCAAGTTTTTCCATGCGATTTATCGTGCAGCCCTACTTATTATTATTACTTTTGCCTCAGTAAACTCCTAATTTGCTACTTATTAATAGTTGGTAAGGTAGGCCTAGTTGTTAAGTTTAGGCATGGGGAAGGGATCTAAAATATGATCATACAGAATAAAGTATTAATCTGTGCTTTATACAGTAAGTACTAAAGAATGAATAAGAATATGCATGCTAATAAGCAACTAGTTAATAGTGAGAATTTATCCTTAAAATAAAGCATTACATTTCCAAAAACATTTTCAGAATGAAAAGATGCACTCCCCAACAAAATCACCCTAGAATAATTAATTCCTTTCAAATATAACTATTCAAGTATGTTTTTTATACTGTGAACAAAATATTGTGATGTATATGTGATGTAATATAATATCATTGTTTTTCTGATATTGTACAGCCCTAACAATGAAATATCTTGTGTGTTATTACATAGTTATAGTACATTGTTTTATCTTACACTGTTAGCATCATGGTCTAAAACAGCCTGAGAAGCCTGGATGGTGTCTGTCAGGGGCTTGTCTTTTCTTTTTGAAG